TGAAAAAAATCTGTAAGGGAAAGAAATAATTACACCTTACATTTGACAGATATAATGACGAGATAACTTTCTCGCAAAGGCTTGTAGGAAAAGGGACAATCGTTAATAATTTTGAGATACCAAATTATCGAGAGCTGGGCTTGGCAACCAGTTTGAAAGTATGAGCCTGCCTCTCAGATCTAGATGGGCGTGTAGTGTCCGAGCCCTCTGCGTTCTCTTAGAGCGCCTCTGTTTCGATAATCGATTCTAAGGTAAAGGGGAAGGGCGCACGATCAAAATAACAAACCAAGCCCGGGTTCGATTCGCGTCCGAGAAGTACAAATTAGTAACAGCGACTGAACAGGTCTCTACTATTACAATACTCTCTCCGAGGATCAGTAATATTTCGATGGCAACCTGATTTTCATGCTCCTTGCACCAAACCGACATATTACTTCCTTTCTAACTAACAGTCTTCTTTCTCTAATTGCCTTTGGCCATTAATGTGGTCATTCAACTTTCTCGTTCCGTTGTTATTATCGAAGTTTCTTTGTAGCCGATAAGTACTTATCAGTGATTACGATATCCTTATCAGGAAAGAGCAATCAAAACTATTACTCAGATATGTATATCTGATATGCACAGTATTAAATTTCACTGCCTTTGTTATATTTTTCTAAAATGATTGCTTTTAAACAATCGCTTACATACAAAATTGAGTGACTGTTGTAGGAGTCCTGGTAGATCTTCCTGGGGCACATTCAGCCTCTATAAAGAGTCTGCTATATATAACTATCGGTCGAGAAAACGTACTTCCTTTCCGAGTACGTTTGTGGGTTGTAAAGATAATTTTTTTTTAAGGCACTAATATCCACCTGATAATATAATTCTATTTATAACCTAACAATATAGATAATCATTTATTAAAAAAAAAAAAAAAACTATATCATGTACAATTTTTTTTCTTACTTTTATCAATTAGGGTACTAATATAGAAAAGCCAAGTTTTCGGTATATGTAGGAAAAGTACTGTTTCTAGATCAACGGTTGTGTAATAGTACTTTATAAAGGATGTGCCCAAGGAGGATCTGTAGATCCCAGGGTCAATCCACTGCTGATAAAAAAAATAATAATAAATAAAAATAAATTTTAATATATTTCCCTTTTATTGTAGTTGCTTACGCCTTATGCTATTATCTCAACATTATTTTTATTTAATAATGGATTAAATATTTTTTTCGAATTTATATCCGTTCTTTTTTTTTTTAATCTGTAAAACTTTATATTAAATATATTTATATTCTGTAAATAATTGACCGAATGGTAGCTATTTCTGCATATGTTTCCAGAATTGACTCGACAAGATTCTTTTTATCATGATCTCTTGAACACAAAATTCTGATATTAAACTAGTCTTGTCGACTCACAAGATTATCTATACTGTATAAATATATATATAGTTTGACAGTTGGAGGGTTTTGATTTAAAATCGGCAAATTTAAAAAATATGTAAGAAGTTGCTGTAGACATTCTATAACCGAGAGAGAGATTTCTGTTAGCATAGAAATGACAAACTTTATAGTCGAGAAGGCTGCTACATGGGAACCACACAAATCAACGACAAATACAAAAAACGTGTCCACACTTCTGTACCCTCGGTTATAGAAATACAAAAAAAAAAAGAAATAAAATAATAAAAAAGAAATATGTGAGCTTCATAAGTTGGAGGGGGCCCAAATCCATGGAGTGGGGGACTGGTTGGAATAAAAACTAAAAGATACAAAAATGCGAGGATAAATGGTTAGTATCAAGGACCAGCTATCTCAGGAATCCGGCGAGTCGTTGAATTACAACTCCAGCTTTTCCGTTTTATGTCCCCAGCGTGCTTTATAAATGCTTGCGATTGAGCCGTTAAAAAGCCGCTCAAAGGGCACCAAATTTATTTTATAAATTTTTAACTGTTTGAGCTAGGTTTGTGTCCCCGAACGGGGGCCTACTATATTATATTGCTGAGTTATATCCCTTTGGTTTTGATGGGCCCCTTGGATGTAAGAAATGTTTGGGAGCATCGTGCTCGATGAACAGACTTCATTACCTCAACCAGTTCCCATAGTTAAGTCATCAACTAATTAAAGAACGATTACAATACATAATTATAAAAAAATATATATATTTTTTAAATAATATTAATAACATAAATAGTTATTTCTAATAATAAATAAAAACATTTGATCCTTAAATCATACTTAATTTTTTTCTTTCATCCAAAGTTTCAGCCCCTTAGGCCAATGGGAAGTGATAAACATTAATTTATTGACAAAAATTAATTTATAAATTAAAATATAATCATTTGAGCTCAATTTGCCTTTCCAAATTCTTTTATATAATACTGCACCTCTTTTCAAAGTTGGGAATAGAGAAAAGTTTGAATTGACTTGGGTAAAAGAAAAATAAAGGACTAAAGAAACAAAAGTGTTTGTTTATTATTAGCAATAGAATACCTAGCCCACAAAAAAAATATATGCACAATAATAATGTATTGTACATTATATAATAATGTAATGTATGTATATATACAAAATAATAATGCTGAAAAGTTACAAAATACTAAAAGAAACGCACAGGCATGAATTGAATTAGGGTTGTAAATATCAAAAAAATATATTGATATTTTTCAAATATGTTCAAACAGTAAATCGAATAATTTCTCCAAATGAATTGCTTATAGACTAGGTCCCAAATGCAGGAGGCTGCAGGAGATTATATAAAAAATAATAATATTAAAAATTACTTTACTTAAAATAATTTAAATTAAAATTTACTTGTAATGGAAAAATGGAATTAAAAAAAAATTGAGAGACATGTTTCCATTAAGAAGGAAAGTCCAGCATTCAGACTTTAATAATTAATGTTCTGTGTATATTTAGAAGCATTTTATGTTAACATTTTAATGTATATTCAAATCTTTTCTCGTAAATATTACCAATGAAGTGGCTGGGAGAGAAGCGCTGGGATTTCTTTAAGTTCTGCTTTGCCTTTCACATGAGGATGATAAAGCATGGTTTAGAGTTCACGAAGCTGAACGTAAATGTTGCATGTATGATTTAAAATTTTGTATGTAAAATAAAAAAAAAAAAATATATATATATATATATATATATATATATATACATATATATATATATATATATATATATATATATATATATATATATATATATATATAAAGAAAAAATGTTTCTGGCAATTAATTATAGAATAAAAACAGAAAATTTAAAATGACGAACGAATTTCTTATTTCTTATTTCAGCATCGTTCTGCTTCAAATGATGTATCAACTCCCGTTTATAAAAATTATGAGTTTTTTTTTCCTTCGCTGAACATTGTTTTCAAATAAATATATTTCTTTGTTTATTCAATTACAACATAATTTTAAATTTATAGGTGACATGTTATTTATAGCAATAAATTTATAGCACTCCCGCACAATGTTAGCATTTTTAAAGCCAAATACACGTTCTTCTGAACTTCAAGGGCATTTGAAGCGGACATTGCATCTAGCCTAATAAGCAAGAGATTACGTCAGAAAAAGCTGGTTATGAATTATTAAAACATGTTTAATGTGTCAAGTTTTTTTTCCAAGTTTTCGCCAATCAAGTACAAATCTTTCTATTTTTAATAATCTAATTCCGATTCCAGTAGTTCAAGATTTTTACCAATTAGTTGCCCATGTTCGGTGATCGATTTAATGATTTTTTTCGATATCCGATCTGATGAAATTGTAGATATGCAAATCGACTTTATTTTTATCCAGTCAGAGGTTTATTAATTTACATTGCAGAAATACGATTGATGTATGTTAGTATAGCTTTCGAGACCTTGAAAATTGCAATATTGTTTTTTCTTCTGAAGTTCATTGTTATGTTTTAACGTATGCTAAAGATCGTTTTGTACTTTAAGAAGAGGTGGGATCAGAAATTACTTTCCATACTTAAACATTATTCATGACAGAGCTAATTACATTGAATGTAATTGCTAGGAACGGATAATTATACAGCTGCGAACCGTTTTACAGGGAACTTATCACAATGGATGAATATTATAAGACAGTAAAAAGTAATCACTGAATTCCTGAAATGGGAAATGTTACTTTTAATCCATACAATTAATTTATAACTATCTAAATATTAATAATATTTATATAAATATAATTTAAAAAGTAATTAAATTCAACATCACTTGTTTCAGTTAAAATCATAAGTGTCCACTACACACGGTTATTGAAAGCTTGTGCAGCACACAGAAAAACCACAGTGAGGTGAAATTGAAACCAAAAATAAATAAATAAAATAGGTTAAACAAAATGTTAAAAAAAAAATTAAAATTAAATAAAAATTATCAGGGTTGCCACTCTATTGTCGTCTTAATTAATACGATCCAAATAAAAATTATTCGAATATAAAAAATTCATTTTCTATAAATATTTGTTTAAATAAATTATTACTGATTTTGATAACGGTCATTATAAATAGAATGAAACCGAATGACAGATCCTTATTATGAAATACCAAACAAGGCATTAATTATTATATATTTTTATCGCATTCAAAGGAAATAGAAATATTGAAAAGTTTTGTTGAATTAGGAAAGACTTACAATTAATAAAATATAAGTTTACAAGATATTTAAAATGTCAGTTTTTTTTTTCATTTTTTAGTTCATAAAATTTAGATTTGAAATATGAGATCGACAAATAATTAATAATATTATTATAATATTTAAACTGTTCTTGTGTTTCGCTGGAAATTTTCTTGTGTACAGGTGATGTTGGCAATTATAACTTCCTTTTTTATTGTTTCTTATATTTATTTAATACATATGTTTGACATTTTGGTATAATATTTATGGATGTTTATGATTAAAATTTTATAGCTATCCATTTTTTTTTAAATTGCTTTACATTTTTTTTAATTTCAGTGATTATTTTATGACTTATTATTATAATTTTAAAAAAATATATATTATTTTTGTGGAGTGGCAAACCCCCTTTCTCTGTTAGGGACAAACAGTGACTCCCTACCGGCGGATGTTCTGCTCTTCGTCCTGTTCTGTTGGGAGCCCTGCGGCTGAGGGGAGGCTGAAGGTTGGCTACCCTGTTTCTCGTGAAACATGAGGCCATAAGAGTTGTAGTGGTAGTCCTGGTGGTAACCGACGTAGCTTCCGACTGGACCTGCGAGGTGATAAAAATAATATCTCGTAGGGATGGGACAGGTATAAACAAATAAAATAAAATAAAACTTAAAATAAAAAAAGGAACTAATTCAAACTTAAAAAATGAATAAATAAAGTAAAGTAAAGAATAACAGGATAACTAAAATCAAATAAAAAAAAAAAGAACAAAAAACTAAAAATAATAAAACAAATAAATAAATAAAATTAAAAAAAACTCAAATTAAGAGAGATCACTGCGGGATTTTCTGATGTTTATTTTTAAAGTCACAATAATTTAAAACTGAAGACAAATAAACTGTATGGAAAATTCTGATGATATATAATATACTGATTTTAGCTTTCCTGAAATAACATCCTAATTATTATTTTACGATGAAAATTAATATAAAAATTTTAAAAATTGACAAATAATTATCAGAGGATCTGTTTTTCATATAAATAAAAGAAAAAATCTAATTAAATGTGAAAATCAGGGATACCCATCAAGGTTAATGACGCATGTCTCCCTCTCTCTCTCCCAAGAAATTTTATTACTATCCTCTTCATGAAAACATCACAAATGACTGCATACTAAGAAGAATTGAGGATCAGAGACAATTACACTTGCTATGGTACGATCCATGTTTCCCCTTGTTACTTAGGTTGAAAGTAACTCCCTTAAATAATTCGCCCGAAAAAATAAATACAAAAGTTGCGTTTAAATATCTCGATAGGAATGCAAAGAATTTTCATGATTCAAGGCATTTATGGTTCTACATTCTACTCATACAACTTCTCTTAAGAGTCAGCAGGAGTTTATTTTTAAATTTATTTAAGCTTTACTCAGCATTTAAGTAAACCCGATATAATACGAAATTGGTCAGATAACCGGAATAATAATTGTATTTCTTCAGATCCTCTGAGTATGAAAAAGGCTTTTATTCTTTATTATCTTTACGTTGTTGTTATAATACAGTTTGGAATGACTTACCTTCCCTAGGCTTCTGCTGGCCCCCTAGCATGGGCTTGACGTCGCACTGTTGCTGGGGCGCGGGTGCGTGTTCCTGGGGGTGGATGAACATCCCCAGCTGGTGGGATCCCCAGTCGGGGGGTGGTGCTTCTGGGGCGGCGTCCGTCGGCGGCGTGGGAGGAAACGTGAAGGATTTGTCCGCCGCCCAATCCGCCCTCTTGTCTCGCAGCCAATGGGGAAGGGGGTGCTGGCTCAGGCATCCTCGGGTCGCTGAAACATATAGAATACATTTTAAAAACAATAATATACATACTTATACTTAACTGAAAGAGAATGTGCTCAAGGACCAACAACTTGCCGAAGCATACTCGAAGGTATGCACAGCCAAGTACTCTAATTAACTAACTACTTCGGGAGACCTTGAGAGCCCTCGGCGCACTAACAAGGACGACACCCACAGGCCGTCGAGTGCCCGCGGAGGAAACAATAGCGATCGATGCACAAATAATAGCCGTGGGACCGAACCCAGGCCGCTGGCAATGTTGACAAGTCATGGCTAATGGTGCTTTAATATCAGTTCTGGCTAATGCGCCATTATTGAGGAAACAGTCATGTGTTACAAATTCGGCATTAAATATGACTTCATGCCAGTAATCAATTGTACTGAAGATATAACATTATCAGTCGTACTGAGGTAACATAAAAAAAAAAATTCTTGATTACTATTGATACAGACAGCAGTACATGTAGGATTTACCGATCACGGGGGTCTAAGACAGATATACTATATAGCAATAAGGAATAAATAAGTTTTTACACCATTTAAAGCAATAAACTTGTGTCATTAGAAATTCAATTTTTTTTTAACCGTGTAATAAAATTATCGGAAACTGTGAATTTTTACATAATAAAGAATGAACTTTAATCGTATCCCTACATTAACAATTTCATTTTTGTTAGGCATTATGTCTTAAAAATAAAACTATCCAAGTGTTATGTAATTAATGAACTTAAGATAAGGCATTTGTTTGTCCATTAAACTTTGTTGTAAAAGAAATAACTAATCTAATTTTTTTTTATTTAATGAAATTTACAACTGTATACAAATAAAACCAGTAAATATGCACTATTAGAAAAAATGACATAAACAGGATTTAAGAGATACTACCCAGTGGTAAGTAGTTGTAAGTAAGAAGATCACGAGGCCATATCCTTTTCAGACGTTTAGGAGGATTATCAGGAATATAGGAAGAAGCAAGGCTGGAAACAAGTACATTCGGATGGGACTGGTGCTTATCATGAAAGGATAGATATCTGGCTCGGGTTAAATTAGCGAGATATGGTACATTAAGATTCTTTATGAATGGTTTTAGTAGTGACAAAGTATGGAGCATTAAGGATTTTGCATTGTAAGGATTGGATACGATATAGGAATTCGATAGTTTGGTGGAGCCCCAAAGCTCAAACTAAAAATAATTATAAAATGCTTAGTGAACCCTAAGGTTCGATACCTATATTAAAAATCGTTGTCTCCATGTTTTCATTCAAATGTAACCCAGCCAGATGAACATTAACAAAATCCTCCCACCTCCGCTTGTGTTCAACCACTCGGATGTTTACCGATCGGCACAGTGCATATTAACTAGTCAGGGATTCTTTCCTTATTAAGCCCAAAAATTTAACTGCGGATTTTATTCACCGCATTAGGGTCACCACATTATATTATTAACCAGAAAAAGTTCATGCAATTAGGCGTTGTGTAACCTTCAAAATTCTCCGTTTGACTCATCCTTATGAAGTCCGAATATTCACCTTAAGATTTTGATCATCCTTTGATGAAAGCAGACACGCTTCGTAACCAAAAAGAACCGTAAGAAGGATAATGGTTTTGTAAAATCTAAATTTTTAAATTTCGACCAAGTAATTTAAACAAAAAAAAATCATTAACTTGTAAACTGAAAAGGGACCAATGCGCTTATGTGATTAAGTAGTTATTAGAAAAAAAAGTTGCTTTTTTTTGTAGTTTTTTTTTTTATTCAATCTTTTGACTTGTATATAAATAAAGTGTGATTTACAGATTTTTTTTTTGAATCGATAACCATAATTCCTAGTTATCCTAGTTGAGTTGTATGAATTATTATAACTAATAAAGAAAATAGTTTGATTATTTCCCGTTATGAACTATAACACCGTTGCCACTAGGCCGTAAGATGGGGACTGAGGATGGGAAGATGTGTAGAGATAGCGGAGACATGACAGTAAAGCTTTATGGCTTTTTCTTAACTGACGAAAAGGAAAATAAAGAATTGCAAATGTGCCATTTGCAAATTTATGCGGCTACAAAGACAGATTATTGAGACATTTCTCCCTTTATGTGGCCCGAAACGTGCCTCTAAATCGGCGCACTTAGCTCTCAGCGTGAGCAACTTATCGCCCCAACTAATCACACCAATCTCTGTTTCCCAACTGGAGTTCTCGAGGGAGTGTCTCAGTTCCCACTAATTGGTACCATTCTCTTTGCGTATATTTAATATAATTACCCAAAGATAGTATTTAAATATTCCGAACAAGGTGACAAGCAATACTGGAAAAGAAATTATGAACTATGATTTCATAAAATAAATTATTTTGTTTATCCCAGAAAACATTACTAATCAACGATTTATGTTGTACGCATATATATATATATATATATATATATATATATATATATATATATATACAATATGGGACAAAAAAAAAATGTATTATCATATTAGATGATAAATTAAAAAAAAAAAAAATGTTTGACTCGTTATTTTGTAAATATAAAGTATATTAAGTGATTAATTTATTATAATACCTCCCAGGTCACAGAAAAAAAAATAAGCTTTGTAATAATTTATTATGCAATAATTATTTTTAATATTTATTATAGTTATTACTACAATAATTATTTTTAATATTTATTATAGTTATTACTACAATAATTATTTTTAAACAATTTTTAGCTTTTATTCTTAAAATCATTAACATTTATTTTAATTGTATTCGTTAACTTATCTTCTTTTAATCTTTAACTTTCAATTTTTATAACTTAAGAATTCAATTGTATCATCATATTCAACTGTAACTATTTTTAACATTCTAAACTTTGAATTGTATTTGTTAGCTGTTATTTTGTTATTTATACCTACGTAGTAGTTGATCCGATTGTAATATAGGGGAGAAATGACCCAGGTGGTTGAAAAGCCCAAAATATTTATAAAAATAAATACTCCAGACATTCGTATTATGGTATTTACACAACTAGAGGTGGATATCAACTTATTGGGTAAAAAACCTTAAGTTAATTAATCCTCCGAGGCGTCTGAAAAGAAGATAACCACGAGATCTCCTGTTGTAAATATATTTTTAGAGTGCTACCAGTGGTTAGTTTCTCAAAAAGTGGTTTCATGTTATTATATTCTTGTGTTCACATTTACTGAATGTATTTTTATTTATAATGCAGTTGTAAATATCATAAATAATAAAAATAAATAAAATAAAATAATTAATATACACTTGAAGCTTTAATTTTACAAGCAAGATTTTATCCAAAATTGGGGCACCGATAGTCCAGGTGGAGTATACTGAAAAAAAAAAATTAGGAGTCATTCATGATTTTAAGAACAACAGAACAGCCTATTAAACCGCTTAAAAAAAAAAAACTTTTTAATTTTATAAGAAATTCAAACTCTACTTGTGTTTGAATTTTTTTTACTATAAAGCAATTTTTAATTACCGAAATTAAATATTTTTTAATTATCGCTTCCTATTCAACAAAAATCATGGTTTACTAACAAAACAACTAAACTTTCTGTTTTTTTTTTGTTTTGTTTTTTTGTATGAAACAACTGGGCGTTTATATTAACTTTTTTGTAGCTCCAACAGTCTGCTATTAGCTCTTTAAATATTTCCCTCAACTTAAGGAACACCCTGTATATGTGTATATATATATATATATATATATATTTTTTTAATGCTTTACATACCTTGTTGATCTTAAACAGCCTGAACTAGTCTTCTTTTATATTTTTATTTGCATACATAAAATATATTTAAGGATTGAAATGAAGATAAACAAGAAGTAATAAGATGTAGGTAAAATTCCAACTAAGGATTTATATGTATGTTCATATATTATATACGCGTTATATATCTTTCATCTGCATTTTGTTTTACGTTTTCATTTTTATTTCAACAGCGAAAGAAACATTTTTTATCTTACAATCTTGGAGGATATGACAATTTTTTACATATTTGGGGCATATATTAGATATTTTGTCCTTATTTAGATTTGTTTTTATTTATTATATTTACAACTGTATTCAGGAAAAAAAAATACAGATCTAGAACTTAAAAACATTTTTAGTTTGTTTTTATGAGCCCTGATTTTCCTTTTTTGTATGTGAATTTTTTTTTTTTTTTCCTTTGTCGATGGACTCAAATTTTTCCTAAAATTTAGAAAAGGTTTTCCTACTGTAAAACAAAATCGTGACATAGGAGAATCAGAGTAAATATTTTTAATTTTAAGATAACTGATGGAACAAATATGAAGTTTTATAATCAGAAATTAAATCACTCCATCGCTACAAATATATGGTTATATTAATAAACGTATATATTTTCTATTTAAATTATAGTCATATAAAAAGAATGAGACAATATTTACCCGTTGTTTGGGGCCCATTAGCCGAAATGACAGGCACATTGTTCCATCGATAGTAGATAGCCACGGTCCATCAACAGCAAACGAGATGGATTGTTAATTAGCCGTAGCTAAATGTCTATCAGCCCATAGGCTCGTCTATAGGACCCTCTTATCACTGAGCCTAATGTAAGGTTTTCTTTTCTTTGGAAATCATTAAATTATAATTATGTCGTTAATTATCTCATTAATTATAATTTTTTAAAAAGCCTTTACCATTATAAATCATGGCGGGACTTATAAAAGAGTACATTGCTTCTTAACCAACTTAAGATTAGTTAAGTCTCACTTAACCATAAAAATTTACATTCTGTTCCTTAATTCATAGAGGCTGGTAGTGACCAGAAAAAGCTAAAGCGAACACATCTTTAATATTGTAATATTCAAAATGTGTAAATATAAAAAGCTATCATTAAACTAAACCGGCTTAGTTAAATATTTTCTTAAATTTTCAATAGTTATTTGTTCAATCCCTCATTATTTTCCTTATCATTGTCAATAAATTCTTAGTTCCAATTAGGGCTTAATTAGTACTACTTGACCAACTATTATCCGATTAAGAGGCTGGATGTGCCCGACCCAAGAATCGATACACGGTTGATATAACAGAGTAAATAAATTAATTATCACAATTAGACTGGATATCTGAAGAGATGAGAGGAAAAAAGTAATTCTTCTTATCCGCTAAGCTAACCTATTATCGGATTTATTTAACTTTTTTCTTACATAATATTATTAATATAAAAATATGTTACAACCGTCATTCGATTCGAATTTCATTAAAAGAAGAAAAACAACCGAACAAAGGTTAAGTGATTATTTTTA